GCCTGAGAAACATTATTTTAGCTCAAGGATAACTGCTGGATGGATCATTTAGGTAGTATACCTAGTAGAAAGAGATTAGTAAATTAGATTATAAAGATTAGCATATTTTTATATAAATGTTATAACAATTTACCTTGAGCTTTCTGGCAGACAAACCCATTTTTGTTTTCACAGTTTTCAACATACCACTTTCCCATTAAACTGAAACTTGGATTATTTAGTATTGAAGTACATAGGACAACTTTTTTTTCAGTATCAGCAATGTAATGATTCTGAAATTAATATATTATGATAGAAATCAGTGGGAAAAGCCATAGACAGACTTTAAAAAAAATAAAACTGATAATCAGAGTATACATAAAATAAAAGTGGGAAATGCCACAAAACACTGTACTACAGTTTTTTTCATTCCCCCTCCTCCTAGCTTTTTGGTCCTCACAATTCACTGCTTTTAAAATGATCAACATGCAGTATTATTAGCTGCACTGCCCTGTCTCATTAGAATTTTCTTTGTTCTGCAGTATTTTTAGGAATTTTTTTAAAATCTCAGTAAAACACATTGCAATATTTTAGCATAGGAAAGTGATACAGAAATAAACAACACAGATAATAAATATCATGACATATTCTTATTGTTGACTTTGTGCAAACAATTAATGTATTCTTTGTTATTAGAACTGATAGATTTGTTAGAAGATAGGAAATCTTCATTTGAATTTGGGTAGCACTATGAAAGGGACAAAAATCTTCATATTTTCTTATTTTCATATCTTATTGATAGTTCAGAATTCTATGGTTGTGCAAAGCATTTAAAATATGTACTTCACAAAACTCCTTACACTGGACAAAGTATGTCTCATAGAAGCTTTAAAGGAGCTACATCATCTCTGAGACTCATACAGCTGCTTTGAAAGGTGCTCCCATCTTTCTTTGCAAGCCCAGTAATTTCATCTGTTTGATGTGCTGCGCATGCACAGACAATTTGGGACATTCTTTGAAATAGCCCTGTGAACTTTGCAAATGACGTAACTACTTTAATACTTTGGAGATGCTTTATTTGCACTTATTTGCAAAGCACCACAGGTGGATACTGGATATGATTCATACTGGATAAATCAAACACCTTTTAGACCATTGGTTAGAATTAGAATTAGGAAAAAAATCCCAGAAGATGGCAGACTATTTCCATAACACTTACAGCAAATGAGCTTGATTCAAGAGCATTTTTGTCTTTACCATTTTAATGGACTCTTGGTTATTCCTGATTAATATCATCTTCAGGAAAGAGCTTTCTGTTTTCATATTTTCTCTAGCCTTCCCCTTCCTCCTTCTATCTAAGTAGGAAATACATTCATTATAAATACAATATAGGGTACAAAAAAGGTACCAAAAAAGTAAGACTACATTGCCTTACTTGTGCTGGAGACCAGTTGGCGTATTCTACTTCTTGTCCATTAAGCCATTTTTCATAATTATCACTCTGCAGACCAATCCAGACATTAGATTTATGTCCAAATAAGTTCATTGCAATGAAAGCTAGAAAAGAAAGCTAGAATTCAGAAACTTAAACTCTGCTAAATTATTATTTTCAAATTAATAGTGATTGAAATTACATGGAGATGAAAAGTAAGAAATGCAGGCTGATACAAAAGTATAATGACTTTTTATCAATCTGAAAAGTCAGTTATCAAAGCCTCCTTCAGTTAGAACTGCCATTCCTAATTGCTAAGAAAGAACCTTAAACATACATGCCTGTATATATACCATACTTTTTGGAATATAAGACGCACTTCCCCCCTCAAAAGTGAGTGAAAATTGCGGTACGTATTATACACCGAACGTTGCTGAAGCCCCGCCTATTCATTGGCCCCCACCCGCTGGCTATTTTCGGCCTCTGCACACCCTGTTTTAGACCCGTTCCAGGTTGTGAGGATTGCCACAGCACATTGCTGCCGATCGCTGCCTCCATGTGTCACATTTTCAGCCTTTGCGCATCGTGTTTTCGGCCTCCGCATACCCCATTTTGGCATTTGTGCATCGCACTTTTGGCCAGTTCCAGGCGGCGGGGATTGACGCCAGCAGCAATCTCTGTCGCCTGGAACTGACTGAAAATGCAATGTGCAGAGGCCAAAAATGGAGCGTATGGAGGCTGAAAATGTGATGTGCGGAGGTGGCAATGGGTTCTGGCGATCCCTGCAGCCTAGAACAGCTAATTGGCGGTATTCCGGGAGGCCGATCTAACTGCCAATCAGCTGTTCATGCTAAATCAGGCTGTGATAATGTGCTGAAGCTAACCAGGCTGTTTGCTGCTAGCCAGATGAATACAGATGGATGCTGGTAGGCAGAGGCAGAATTTTTTTTTCTTGTTTTCCTCTCCAAAAACGAATGTGCTTATACTCTGGAGCGTCTTATACTCTGAAAAATATGGTACATATTCTCTTTCATGGAAAGCAGTATTGTACAAAGAAGAATACACTATATAGCTTATGTAATTTGATCCTAATTTATTCTCTTTACATGACCAAACCATCTCAAATGAGGATTTCCACTTTATTTCATGTACTATTTCCATATCACTTTCACACTGCTTCTCTCTTAGTGTTTTATTTTGTCACTGACTGCAAAGTTTTTAAAGGATTCTATGGAAATGCCACTATGCTTTCCGAATTAAGAAAAAAATAGGTATCAAGTTTGAGGTCCCAGGAAATTAGCTGTGATGGTTATCAAGGGGAGGTCTTAAATCCCAGGAAATGAGTTTAAATACAAGAGATAGGAGTTTATCCAAAGTTAAATAACACTATAAAATGCAAATATACATGTGTTTTATAGCATTACTTACTTCTGCCATAGTTCAAAACTAAATATTAAACAATGGTATTTTACAGCCAATTGAAAGTAGTAAAGTTATTTTTTCTGATAGAAATTTATATCTGGTCTTCTATCAAGGATAATAAATATTCAGTTGCAAGACATAAATTCACAATAGAAAACTTAGTCAAGTATTTAAGTAGTCTTGTTTTGAATCCTCTTACGTTTACTCATATAATATCCAGTACAGCTATTAAGTCTTACAAAATCTTATTATGTTTAAGACCCAGAGCCTTAAATATAAATACGGTAGATAACAAAGATGGTCCTACTAATAAAATATGCAATATCTGAAAGAAACATATATTTATAACATTTTGATTAAGGTGTAACACACCGTGTGGTACCTTGTTCAACTTCATTTTCAACTGATACCAGTGATGCATCATAGTAGCTGCAAGTTTTTTGAGCAGAATACCAACTTTTTAAATGGGCTGGATCCTTTGGAATCTGCAGCAGGAAACACTGTTTATAGAAAGAAAGATTGAATTGGATATTTAGGATAGCCATGAGTCACTCACACAAAATTTTATTTGCAAGGTTGGATAGGAGTACGTTTGGAAAGAATGAAGAAGCTGAGTTAAAAGAAGTGATAGATCAAGCTTCTTCTTTAGCCCATTAATTGGAAAAGAGAAAAGGAAACATAAACCACAATGTATAAATAGAATGGCAATTGAGAACACTCAGGAAGAGAATCAGATTTTTTTTTTTTTAAAAAGGCAGTTTTCTAGTGAAACTTGAGATGGACACTGATTGATGGGGATCAGGGAATCAAGCTGGGCTCTTGGGAGACTGTAGTACAGGTAGTCCTCGATTTACAACAGTTCATTTAGTGACCATTCAAAGTTACAACAGCACTGAAAAAAGTGACTTATGACCATTTTATGCACTTACAACTGTTGCAGCATTCCCGTGGTCACACGATCAAAATTCAGATGCTTGGCAACTGACTCACATTTATGACCATTGCAGTGTTCTGGGTCATGTGATCCCCTTTTGTGGCCTTCTGACAAGCAAGGTCAATGGGGAAACCAGATTCATTTAACAACTGTGTCACTAATTTAACAACTGCAGTGTTTCACTTAACAATCGTGGCAAGAAAGGTTGCAAAATGGGGCAAAACTCACCTAACAAGTGTCTCACTTAGTAACAAAAAATTTGGGCTCAATTATGGTCGTAGGTCAAGGACTACCTGTAATATTAAATTATCACTTTTGAATGAAGCAAATAATTTATTAAATTATTATATGTATTTCATAATTCAAACGCATAAAGACATGTGCTTTTAAATGGTTTTTTTTTTAATTAGCAATCCATTTTTGGCCAACATACTGCACCTAGGGTTAAGGTTAGGGTTAAGGTTCGAAACTCTAGAAGGTTTTTCTTTAAACCAGCAAATACCTTGAATCCAAAGTACAGCCATCCCTTAGGACATGTTCCTTGATATTCTTCTTTCAAAATTTCTCTCTCAGTAATTTGTATATTTTTACGCTTGCAGACACAAGGAAGAGAAATGGTACAATTTGCAAAGCCCCACTGTCCTAAACGATACAATAACATAATAAAATTAAAATTACTCTGTCAATATAGCATGATACTGTAATGGAATGTGTGGGGGAAAAAGGGGAAGAGATGCTGCCTAGGAAACACTCAGGCAAGAGAGGAAGGAGCCCAAGTGGCTTAAAGTAAAATCAGAAAAGGAAACTAAGGAAGGAACCGCTCTAATGGAGCAAGACGTTAAAAGAGGCAGTGGGAGGTTTTGCACTTTCAGATTAGCAAGGTTATGTTAATATAGTCTTACAATAAAGTAAATGTAACTCATCTAGTTGGGTTTGCTATCTGTTTTACCTGGGAGGGCTAAAAGATACTAACCAATTAAGTATATTTCCAATATAATTAAATATGTTATAATTTATGGGCAACACTTTTTGAGAAGTATATTCCTAGCAGGACTGCCTCAAGTGTAATCATCCATACTCCCATAACAGTGAAAATGTAAGACAACTCTTTCATTATTTATTTATATTAATATACAGGATGTCCTTGAGTTAAGAGGGCAATTGGGACCGAGATTGTTGTCGCTAAGCAATGCAATCGCAAAACAGGACATCACGTGACCATGTCACTTAGCAACAGAAATCCTGGGTGGTCTTGGCACAGTTTGCACTATGCAAAGTTGGGAGAGGGGATGGTGCTGCAGTGGCAATGTGAGAGCAGGGAAGCCAGGAAAAGGAGGCCATGTGTCAGTGTAAGTGCAGGAAGGCTGGGAAAGGATTTACTAGATAAGAAGTCCTAACTTTCACAAAAGATTATATGGAACAAAAAGAGCTGAACAGGAAGCCAGAGCATTGCAAACCAAAGCAGAGACCCTCAGCATCACATCTATTTCAGGTAAGATTTTTGGGCCACCCAAAGCTTGTGTGTGTGTGTGTGTGTGTGTGTGTGTGTGTGTGTGAGAGAGAGAGAGAGAGAGAGAGAGAGAGAGAGAGAGAGAGAAGCACATCTGAAGGACTAGTTGGCTTTGACTGGCATTGGAAATATGCTTCCAGGAAAAACCAACTGTCTGTTTCATATAGAGAGTTCTACTTGTATTCTTCCTGGGTTCCTCCTGCTGTACAAAATAAAAACAATCAATTTTTAAAATCAAATCATTTCCAATATGATTTGTGGGAAATGAATGATGAGCAACTCTAACCCCAGGCTAATTTGATTGGAACGGCCTTAAATTTACTTTGCAGAGATCCTCCAAGGCAGGTTTGGATGATGCCCAAGAAAAACACAAGAAAGAAAAGGGATGTACCATTCCGAGTGCAGGCAATATTATTCTAAGGAAATCATTTCTCATGCCATGCTCAGTACTATAAAAGGCAATAAGATATTCTTGTTGGAATTAAGAGCACGAAATCTGCATAATATTCAAAGACTCCAAGCAGCCACTATGTAAGTATGTTTTAGGTACAACACACATACACACATGATAAACCACAAGCCAGGGGTGAAATGCTACCAGTTCGGACCGGTTCGGGAGGACCGGTAGCAGAGATTGGGGCTAGTTCGCTGTACCGGTAGCAACTGCTGGCTGGCCATGCCCCGGAACTGGATCACGGCCCTCAGCCCAGCCATGCTTCCTTGCCTTCCATGCGGCCTTCCCGTGGCCAGCTTGCGAAGGCAGGCAAGCGGAAAGCCACGTGGAAGGCAGGCAAGCATGGTAGGGCTGCAGAGAAGGGAGCTAGCAGCTTACTCCCTTCCCAGCAGCTCTCCATGCTTGCCTACCTTCTATGCTGTCAAACTCATTGTTCGGAGTGTCAGCAATCTAAGGAAATGTCTTCCAACTCTTCAAGATCGACTTGAAGGGTGCCGAGAAGCCGACAGCAAAAGTAGCGGCAGTGGGGGCGACGGTATGTGTGTGTGTGTGTGTGTCCCTCCGCAGTTCTCCTCTCCCAGGTGACAGCCAGGGCTTCGCTGCCTCCTCTTTTCCTCAGAGGGGCAGTGACTGCCTCCAAGTCCTTGCGGAGGGAGGGACACACACACACATACGCCCCTGTTGCCCCTCCCCCCCGCCACCACTACTTTTGCTGTCGGCTTAAAGTCGATCTTGAAGAGCTGGAAGACGTTTCCTTAGATCGCTGCCAAACTCATTGTTGGGAGTGTCAGCAATCTAAGGAAACGTCTTCTTACACCTTCTCCTCCCCATTCCCCCCCCCCATTTTTCCATTTCTGTGCCTGGATTCTGCTTCTGCAAGAGAAGGCTCTGATGTTCGCTTGGGTGGCGGAGGGAAACTCAAAGTATTGGGGGCTTCAGAAGGGCAGAATGTTCTTCAAAATGTGCAGCTCCTGGCTCTAACAGTGAGTGACGTCAAGTTGGCCACACCCACCCGGTCCCATGTCCACCAAGCCATGCCCATCAAGCCACACCCACAGAACCGGTAGCAAACATTTTTACATTTAACCCCTGCCAGAAGCTAATAACTTTTGTTAACAGGTAGAGATCTGGATGATATATGACATTCTTGTGTTACAAACAAAGAAAGGAGACACTTCTCCATTGAAGAAAAACAGGCCACAGATTGAAATGCATACATTATAAAGCTATCTCTGTTTATTAGGAAAATATCCACAAATCAATATTCTCAATTCAAAAAATTGCACAATTTGGGAATACCTTTCATGACAACTTCAATTAAATATTTATTTAAATTTATATGGCCACCCTCTTAACATGAAATTCTGCAATTATAAACACAATCTAAAATTTTACAAATAGTTTACCAAATTTGGAGTGACAATACAACCCAATAATGTCTGTTCCAAGAACCAGGTTTTCAGTGTCTTTCAAACATTGCAGTAGTTAGAAAAATTCTTATCTATGGCAATAGGCAAAGATGATTCAGAATAAAATAACATAATTATGGAACCTCACCAAATGTTTCATATAATAATTTGAAATAATAAGAACCACATACTACAGGTACCTGTCTGGGAAGAAATAAAAGCACATTTTTGCCCTTGAGCTGACTTTGGTCTCTCTTTATCTCCTGCCCAGTTCTGATACAATAATGGAGATCCATCTGTCCATCTGTAAACAAAATTTAGATTGTATTTAGTTATTAGAAATGGCTTTTGAAGATCACATGATGCAAGCACTCTATTAGAGCTAAATTTTAGATCCCTTTGCTGCTTTTCTGACAGGAAAACCAGATCAGATATGTGACCACTGTCCCATGTTGGGCTCTGGATGACCTGGCACATGGCTGTCATGCAGGTGATAAACTGCCTAAGCCGGGGGTTGGACTAGAAGACCTCCAAGGTCCCTTCCAACTATTCTATTCTATTCTATTCTATTCTATTCTATTCTATTCTATTCTATTCTCTCCTAAACTACATCATACATCGCTCCCAAAGGAAAGCAGGTTGAAATTCTCCAAGATAATAGGTCTAATTTGTGTTTTTCATTCCTAAATATACCTGAAACAGAATTAAAAGCTAATTTTCCTGACTGTTGCTAAGTAGTTTGCAATTTAAAACTATACATAAACATGTACACTTTAGGTGAAGTAGTGAAAAAATTAATCAGTTGGGAAAAGTACTTTAAAAATGCACCGCAGTGAAAAAAGTGATTGTAAAACTAGAGAAAAATTAGTACAAATGCATTGAAAATTTTCATGTTTTTTTAAAAAAAAAAACTACTATAATTATATAAAGCAAGTTAAAACAAATTTAAAACATTTTAGAAACTGAGATCCACTTATTTGTAATACCTGGATTAGGAGATTTTCTGAAAGAATCTTATACTACTTGCATTGCATTTAGCACAGAAAATGCATAAATACAATAAATATTTAGCAACAGCAAGTATTTCTTTATTTGAGGTTTTTCATTAATAGTACATTTACCATTAATGACTGGCTATTTTATCAGGATTGTAATAATATACGCAGTTCTTGGGAGTAAGCACCACTACGTATTATGGAATTTAAATCTTTGTACACTCGAAAAGGATAAGTAAATGAATGAATAAGGGAAATCAGAGCAATCATGATTACTATTTACAAATTCCATTGCACTATATTCTATCTATAGTATTGTTCATTTTTCTTCATCTATTTCTATACATTTTAAGATATATAAATGGAGGAACGCTGAGGAATCCACCCAACTCACCGAAAAGAAATCTTACTTTTGCCAGAAAGAAAGAGTAAGAAAAACACACCATTTTCTATATTATGAATACAGCTGTATAGGATATAGTTGCAATTGGGCCCAGGTTTGCTGCTTTTATATTAAAATAAGAAATAATTTCTAAGATTAGATAGAGAAAATAAAACGTTTATGGCAATCTTACCGAAATTCTTCACTGGGTAATTCTGAACGCAATGCAATCCACCAATTGCTACTTTTTTTTGAAATCTGTACAATATTTACATTGAAGAAATATTATGTAGATTTATTATTTGGCATGTATCCTTTAACTGGTTCGTGTGCAATGTATGCTGATTAATGTTTAGACAAGAATGATAAAAATAATTGAAAAACAACAAAAAATTATAAATGACTGACATCAAAATATGTATATCCACTCAGAAATGTGGAGTTCCACTGAGTTCAGTGTTTGCTAGCTGCCAAAAGTCCTTGAGAAATGGGACAGATTATAAATAACATTAAGTAACTAAATAGAAGAAATAACATAATCAATAGTTCTTACTGCATAATGATTACATGGAAGCAATTTATAAGTACACAATAGTACCAGAATTGCAAAAATTACTACATGTTGAGCAAAAACACAGAGAATTGAAACTCAGTTAAATTACCTAAAAACAATGGGGCAGTTACCTTCAGATAAACATGGTTTATTGCAAGAAACACTATTTAATGCTTTACTCATTTTGAAATGTATATCCTGCCAAATATATTTGAAAAGCATTATTGCCATAATGATTTGCTGATCTGAATTAAACCAACAAAAAGCAAAAAATATAATACAATAATAAAATCACACAGAGTAACTTAGAATAACTTCATTGTCACTTTGAATGTACACTAATTGGCATACGTTAAAATGAAATTTCGTAACAATCTGACTTAACAATTAGGGGATCATCCCCTTTTCTAAAGCTCTGCTGAAACAAAAGAATTCCACTAACTTTCAAGGAGGTTAGACTATAAAAATAAATGAACGTGAAATATTAAGTATAGAAGGGATGAGGTCACCTACACATTTAACACTTTTGCAGAGAGGAAATTGGAGCAGGTATATCTAATTAACCACAAACAAAAAAGCTACAACAGCTGGAATTCCATTTTCTGCAAATTCATTCAAGATGTAGGCGATTCTGCCTTCTTTTACATCAGCAACCCCAGCTAAAATTAGGGCCACTTTTATGGTCACAACATTGCAGTAGCAGAAAAGGTTGATTCTTACTGATCGCTATCTCATCTCTGATAAGGATAGAAATCAATGTTTTATAAGGTTACTGAAAACAATAAAGCCAGAAAGAAGTACCAAAGTCTCCTAAGTTGATAGTTCAAAAGCTAAAAATAGCAATATCTAGATAAGAGTGAAAATGTTGCAACATTCATGGGTGCGATTAAAGTATTTTTAGCCGCGGGAGCAATTTAAAGAAAAAAGGTTGCAATCCAGAAATACCAGAGATGATATATGTATTTGTAGAAAAAGAAGAATGTATTGGCATTTTGTACGTGCAAAAACTGACTTAATTTCTCCATGCTCATCAGCTGTGCTTTTTTGTTTTATCTAGATCAAGGGTGTCTAACCTTTTGGCTTGCCTGAGCCTCACTGAGTGAAAAGGATAATACAGTTAATTTACGTAAATTACATAATAATGTTAAAAGTTTGTGATCTTGTAGGGCTGTATTACTTGTATTACTGCGGGCTGGACATGCCTGATCTAGACTGTACTTAGGCCTTTAACTTGGCTCAGTCTGAAGAAGCCACAAAACTGTATTTCACTAGTTGCTGCTGTATTAAATAGAAAATCTATTTCAAATTGTGTCTTTTAATTTCTTGTATAATTGTCTGTCTGTCTGTCTGTCTGTCTGTCTGTCTGTCTGTCTGTCTGTCTGTCTGTCTGTCTATCTATCTATCTATCTATCTATCTATCTATCTATCTATCTATCTGGAAAAAACTAATGTGCTATGAAAACCTAAGAAATAATTATATATATATATATACATTACCTTTTTTATTCTGTTTTGGATAAATTCTTGTTCTTGAGAGGACTGTATGGTTGCTATATCCCCACGGAGCCAACCACACACAAACTGAAAACTGTCCCAGTTTGAGGGGCTGTCATAGAAAAGGTATTCTGCTCCTTGATAATAAAACCATGGTAACTCTAAAAATCAAGTTAGACACAATCTATTTGAATATGAGAAAATGTCTTTGAATTACGTATTTTTATTGTTAATGAACCAAACATCACACACCCTGTGCTCTACAAGAGTCAACACTATCAAACCTAATACTGCAGAAGATGAGTGGATGCTAAACTACATTTGACTTATCCTTGAGATTTAAAGATTTAAATTTTAATGAACTAGGCATGTTCAATAGATCATTATCATTCCATTAAAATGCAGAAGTTATTCATATGCTTAATTTTCTCCCAGTGAAATCAATGGATTTAAATATGGTTGTTATAGCCCGAACTATATTTTACATTGAAAGCAGAGCAATTATTTCTTTGAATGGAGCCTAACATGTAGAAACAATAGCAGATTCTCTGGTATTTGTCCAGACAGTAACAGACTACTTAGCTATTTACTTTTAGATGAATGCATTCTAAAAATATATGCAATTAAATATTATCTTTATCTTAGGGAAAGATTTCAATGATAAAAAATTAAGCATCTGAACAACTACTCCATTAATATCAATGGAATAGAAGCACATCTCACATGTCATTGTGATTCTTCTTGCTCTTAATAATGAAATATTTTGAGCTACAATTTATTGTATTAATCTTGTGAAGGCCTGCCTCCAATTCTTTGCCCCCATTTCCTTCTTCCATGACTGACTGCAAATTTCACTTGTATATGTTGCTCTATAAACCACCAAGAACATAAACAAGTTCCACATGCCCACTGTGCTGCTGAAATACATCAAGGCTTATAATGTTCAATCATTTATTATTCCTCCCTTGACATTGCCACTCAAACAGCACACAGACCAACAATGCACTTTTGTGCTTGATGCAGAGAAGCAAAACCTGTGACTCAAGCACAACAAGATCACATTGTAGAAATTTATCAGTGAAATGGCCAATATTTAACAATGTCATTTTGGGGGTTTTTGGTGTGAAATTAATTTGGATTTTCATAAGAGTAGAAAGTTCTGGCATGTAAGAATTCTCATTCTTAGAATTGAGCAAAAGCACCTAAAACCACAGAAAAGTAGGGGAAATCCCATGTCAGAGGCATCATTTAAGGTGCTCCCAGGTTGAAAGGATTTGCTGGTGACCTCACCATTGTCCATGGAGGCTCCTTTTATGTCCTTGTCAAGGAGCTGGAGTGAGTGATGGGAACTCACTTCACTATGCAGCAGCACTCGGATCTTGAACGTGAGCTTGCTAAACTCCAACCCAGCATCCTAATCACATGAGCTACCATGCTCCTACAGAACTGATTTATTAGGAAGCTTCCAATCATGCTATAGCTGCCCAGTGCCCACTGCTTAGGATGAAATGGCTGTTAAAAATTTGAAATAATAATTTATAGTTTAACGTACATAAACTTACATAACCCTCCCTCCCTCCCTTTTCATTTTTATATCATTTGATTGAAAAAGTTGAGATTTACTGTAAACATGATACAGATCTATTCAGGCAGTGGTTTTTCAACAAACTTTTACTAGATCTACCAATCTTCTTGAGCAACTCTTTGGAAGCAAAAGTTACTTCTTCCGTTCCTCTATAAGTAAAACTATTCTCATTGGAAATCTGAATCAATCCCATCATTTGATAGCAAGATACAGGTAGAAAAGCTAAGAACAAAAATAAATCACCACAAAAGAAAAAGCAGTTGTTAAAAGAAGCCCTTAATATTTTTTCTCTGCTCAATGCATCTTTCATAGCATTCATACTTGCCCAGATCTATCTATAAGTGCCACCAACTGGTATTTTGAATTGAATTAAGTACCACGTGCAGATAAGGGTACACTTCTAGTAAAATGCTGTTCTGTTTTTTGTGATTACTAAGATTACTAGGTTATTTCTATAACATAAGTATTGCTTGCTGTTGTTTTGAAATGAAATCTATAGAAAATCTGCCTGTTTGCTGAAAAAAGCCCCCCAAAATGCTTACTGTATGCACACACACACAAACACACTGTTTCAATAGGTGAAAAACATGTTTTTACCCATACCATTAATATACCATTGTGGAGTCTTGGGTTTCACACCTGAAACAGAAATAATGTTTTGGTTTAAAGAATATAATGCAGAATTTTCTTCTTCTTTCCTCTTTTTTGCCATTATTAAAATATAATTTAACTATATTCTGGCTTAGTGTCATTTTTTCCTTAGATATTCATTGCTAAATTTTCATTAGCACTTATTTTAAAGTAATACTTAAAATATATAAAAGCACCTATTTCATAAAAGCTAATAGTCTATTGTTATTAAGAAACATCCAGTTGATACTTTCCTGCAGACTGGATGGAGCTGTCCTATGCTGGATCAAGCTATAGACCATGCAGCAGATTCCTTTTAGATATGTTGAACTAAAATACACATTTTGCCCAACCCAAAGCACTGGTAAGACTGGTCTATTCTGACCACAACATTCAAAGGAATTCAAGAGCAGCTTCTCTTTCTCAAATTTCTAAACCCTTTATTTAAAACTTGAGATACAGGTAGTCTTTGCTTTTTCACTAGTTGTTCAGCAACCATTCAAAGTTTTGAAGGCACTGAAAAGAGAGGCTTATAACAAGTCCTGGAAGCTGTGGCAATCACAGTGTCCCCATAGTCGCATTACTGTGATTTGGACACTTCACAACTGGTGCTGTATTTACCACTATTGCAGCATGGTCACATGTTTGTTATTTGTGACCTTCACAGCTGGCTTCTGACAAGCAAGGTCGATGGGGAAGCTGGTAGGAAGTCACAAGTTAGGGTCATGTGATGCCATGCTTATCAACCATGTGATTCACTTAACAACTGCAGATGGAACCGATAACATAAGTTGGCACAATCAGGGGTGGGATTCTACCAGTTCAGACTGCTTCGCCCGAACCGGTAGCTCCGACGATCATCTGGGAGTGAACCAGTTCGCTCTGACGATCAGGTTGGCCTGCCCATCTGCCCCTACACTTTACTTACCTTTATCTTCTCAGCTGATTGGCGCGGCAGAGCGGATTACCGCACCTCAGCTGTGTTACTCCCAAGTGGTAATACAAAAGGTTAGTATTTGTAAAACTGTGCACGATCACCGAATCGGTTGTTAAACTGGTAGCATCCCACCACTGGGTACAATCATATGAAATCGTGCTTAACGTCTGCACTGCTTAGTGATGGAACTTTTGGTCCCAAGTGTGATTGGTAAATTGGGACTATTTGAATTGATAACTGAATCTGAGACTTTCTTCATGCAAGAACTGATATCTGCTATTGAATAACTGCTTCTCATCTTAATGAAACAGTGACTATGTATCATTTTAGGAAGCACATATTGGAAGACGTTGTTCAAATGCTTCCTTACCTTTTGGTATTTTACATATCCATTCATGTTCTGAATTGCAGCGCAGTGGCAAAATAGTCCCATTAGCTTTATATGCTGCACAGTTTTTCACATTATCTTCAATAGAAGCTTTCTCTAAAAAGGCAGACGAAACCTACCACAAAAATATGCATTAAATCTGAAGCATGATATAGAGACTAACTTTAATAAATTAAAATAGAATAACATATTGTGAGAACATAATCAATTATGTCTTATTCAATAACTCTACATGGTTAAACAAAACTTATTGAAATGTACACACCTAGTCATAGAATGAACATGGAATTGAAGATTTTTATTAGTAAAAAGAAGTATGTATGTATGAACCATGAGAAGACTCTAATAGTGGCTTTTTTCTGTCAGAAGAACTTGCAGCTAATGGTCCTAATTTGAATAACTCCTTTCTATCACAACTTTCTGTATGACATCACATCTTCTTGCAGAAGATTATAGAACTTTGATGAATGACAAGATCGTTATTTATTTATTTATTTGTTTGTTTGCTTGATTTGCTTGCTGCCCATCTCGCTTAGAGGTGACTCTGAGCAGGACATGTGCTAATTTAATTGCAATTTATATTCCTTAATCCAATTCTGACACTATTATCTGATGCTATCTTATTCATTTACTTACTTACTTACTTGCTTACTTACTAACCTAATTTATATATCCTTACTGAAACTCAGAAAAAATGATTATAAAATGAGAATTCTTACAGTCCCAATTTTTTTATTTGATTCTTAGACAGAAAGTCTTCTGGAAAATGACTGAAAAACTGTTAAAGAGTTACAGATACTGGGAGTGTCTCCCTATATAAATTTGCTTCAGGAACGTATCATCCTGAGGTGAATTTACATAGGTAAAATAACCTGTTCGACACCATTATATTTTACAAGTTGAGAGAGATTATTTGCTAATAAATATCTGTCAAACCTGAAAAAGAGCTATTAAACAAATATTAGATTAAGTAAGGAATAAAATGGGGCAGATATTGAAGTCATTTAAGCTATCTAAAATTCAGTTCCTTTTTATTTGTTTGCCATTCGGGTAAACCCATTAAGCAATCACATCATAAGCCTTGAAGCAAAAATGTGTTAATACATTAGGGATCTGACTGTGTGAATGCTGTGCCATGCTAAAACTTT